GCTGTATATTTTGAAAAGACTTCTATATAGCACCAGAGAGCGTTCTTTTGCTGTAATAATCTTGATATCATAACAATAGTAGAACCCTTTTTGGTGCTATATTGAACCCATTTCAAATAGGTTCTATAAAAAACCATATACAACACATTCTTCAGCAATCTGAAGAACGCTTTTACCATGCAAAGAACCCTATAAGCATGCAAAAGAGCTCTTTAAGTTTGCTTTGTTTTATATAGAACCACTGTCCTTTCTAAAGAACCCTTGACTAAAAAATCATTAATACAAAATACAAAAATTAAATAGAATAAAAGAAAAAGAAAATAAAATAATGTGAAAAACGTATTTATTAGTACACACTTAAAAAGATGGTCCTTCAAGCATTCTTTAATAAATGCAATGGTTCTATCTAGAACTATGTATAGCACCAAAAAGGGTTCTGCTATTGTTACATGCTTGACATTGTAAATATATCTGAACCCTTTTTGGTGCTATATAGAACCATATATAACACATTCTCTATCAACCAAGTTACCATCAACCATTTCACCATGCAAAGCACCATTTAAGTATGTGGTGGTTCTACATGGAACTCATGGTTCTAAATATAACCATTGCCTTTACTAAAGAACCTTTGAAGACAGTTTTGAGAAGCCTTTATACTTAAAATTCATTCATGGTGGAGGGATACACGCAGGGCATTGTGAGTCAAAATAGTCCCCAAAGAAAATGTATTATTTCAGATTTTCCAGATTATAGGGGCAGTCATGGGCTGGAGGTTAGGGAACCAGCCTTGTGACCGGAAGGTCACTGGTTTGATCCTCTCAGCTGACAGTACGTGACTGAAGTGCCCTTGAGCAAGACACCTAACCTCCAACTGCTCCCCAGGCGCTGCGGATAGGGCTGCCCACCGCTCCGGGCAAGTGTGCTCACTGCCCCCTAGTGTGTATGTGGTGTTTCACTGCACGGATGGGTTGAAATGCTGAGGTGAAATTTCCCCGATGTGGGACTAATAAGGCTCTCTGAATCCTAATCCTCTTAATTTTCCACTATTTTCCATCATCAATATTCCATATAAACTCAGAAGACTCGTGTAGGTTCACTGGTGGTTCTGGATAGTAAATAAAATGTCTATATTTGTGTTGTAGTCATGGTGACCCCTGGTTCCTATCACCACCACTGTAAAGACATCTGAACCATTTCACACCAAACCAACATAGGAGATCTAAACGTGACTGAGCTCACTGTTTATGCTCGATATCAGTTGTTTTACATATTAACATATTAAATTTCTCATATTACATATTTCTGATTTTACATATTAACATATTTAACTTTAAGTTTCTCAGAGGGCTTGTAAGATGCTGTGAATTCACTTGTATCATACAGTATCAGCTATTCCACATTATGTGATAGAATTCTCTTCTTTTCCAACAGGCTAATGTGCAGAACATCTTCAAGAAGCCTGTAAGCTACCAGACAACAACGTGCATAAAAAGTATCAGGTCGAGAAACGTCATGTATTGGGTTCCACTACAGAATCATAGGGGAACATCTTAGTACATCCAGCACCTATCAATCGGTACAGAAATGGAAGTTAGACTCAATTCTTCTCTTTTTGTGATACTTTTGATCTAAAATAAAGTGATATAGCTAAGAAGATGAGAAATGTGAGCAGCAGCAATGCAGTGCAGGAGCTGTGAAGAGCTGTGCACTAAAATCTAAAATGAACTAGAACCGAGAAAAGCAAGTTAAGTAAAACAGTTAAACTATTAAATGTAATTTTGCTACTAACCAACTCTGTTTAAATAACAGAGCAAACTGCATGTTTAAAAAAAAATTTAAAAACTACAATAAAATATATAAATTGCCAAAAATGAGACAGAGGTTCTGTGATCTAAAGTACACACTTTAAAAATATGGTTCTTCAAGGGTTCTTCAGTAAAGGCAGTGATTCCTTTTAGAATCATGAGTTCTATATCCAACCGTTTGCATGCTTAAATGGTTCTTTGCATGATGAAATCGTTCTTCAGATTGATGGAGAATGTCTAAATAGCACCAAAAAGTTCTGCTACTGTTATGGCGTCAAGCTTGTAGTCTGATCTGACATGGATTCTGCATAATACTAATTATGAATTAAAAATAACAAGTATATAAAGTAGGAGTGGGCTTTATGATGATATTTTATGTTATCATATTTATGTTATCATGATACATTGTGTCATAATTTTTTTGATGCTTTTTTGAGCATGTTGTGGATGTCATTATTATCAGTACTTAAAGAACACTGACTAACAACACCCTTCATTAAAAAGTGAGCATAATTAGGCCTGTTTAACCCTTAGGACTTGGAGAATTTGCGGGCAAAACAGTAGGTCACTTCTAGCCTTCATAACTTCAGAAAGGTTTAAGATACAAACATGATCCAGATATCAGGACACTCAGCAGACAACTAGCAAGCAAGACGTCATCGAGTTGTGACGTCAGCATCAGTGAGTAATTCGGCTTGGAAAATCACCTAAAATCCTGATATTATTGCTCTGCTGTTTGGCCTTCATATTCCAACAAAGGGTTAAAACAGCGACATGATTCACACATCAGATCACTCATCAGACTCCGCCTCACCATCCAGAGTGATTTCATCCACCTGTGACCGTCCATCAGCCAGGGATCCACCCGAAATCCCCCAAACCCACTCGCTACTGTTATACTACGTCTCTGCTTTTAGCCTTCATATTATAAATAAAGGGCTTTCAGTTTACACTGATTGAGTATTAAAAATATCTGATATTAAATATGCAACTCAATTTGTAATTAAAAATAAAGCCTGTCTTGCTGCGTATCAGAGTTTTAGCACTCAGCATGAATCCAAGAGGACTGAAAATCAATAAAAAACATGTCCGCCTTATGCTAATTGTTTATTTTTACTCATAATAACCAACAGAATGAATCACCATCAAAGTATTGCACTTTCAGCTCACAGAGACTCCAGACTAACAATTTCTGAAAAGATAACTACAACTGCACTTGTTTTCAAGATCTCTATAATTAAAAAATACAAAATTTAGCAGGTGCTGGGTACATTTTTGACCAGAAATGATCCAAACTCAAAGATATAAAATTTCTTTTAGCATTTACATGTCAAACAATGGTATATCTGAGCAGCCCAGGGTCTCCTGAAAATACCAACATATGGCATGTGTGACTGTCACATGTAAAAACTTTATAATTGTAATGTAATGACCCAAAAATACCAAATGAAATCCCTGAAATTTTCTAAGGGTTAACTGGATTTAGTTCAGTGCAGTTTGTAAACCATTGACCACAGATACTGTACACTCTTTACAAAGATGGTTCTCCTAGGGTTCTTTAGTAAAGAAAATGGTTCCATATAGAACCATGAACACTCAAAGAACCCTTTGCATGATTAAAGGGTACTTTGCCTTGTGAAAGCGTTCTTCAGATTGATGGAGAATGTGTCGTATATGGTTCTATATAGTATAGTTATTCTATTGTTATGATGTCAATCTTGTAATAATAGAAGAAACCTTTTTGGTGGTAGATAAGATAAGATAAGATAAGATAATCCTCTATTAGTCCCACAATGGGGAAATTCTCAATTACTATATATATCAATAATAACATCAAAATACTAAAAAATACAATATCAAAATAAAAAATACAAAAAAAGCAAAAAATAATTACCCAATTACCCAAATTGCTCATAATTATTGCTCATGAGGTACTGACTTATGTTACCCATGGGATGGTGAGGAGTTAACAATATTAAAAACTTTATAGATAGAAAAGCAAAAAAATCTTTACACTGTAGAGATATTTTACACATGTTCCACATGAAGTATTGATTATATTGCACACAGGAAATGGTGATAAATTCACAGTATGTTCTGTAGGTGTGTGAGGTCTAATGGGGGGTGGAAGAGGTTCTACTGGGAGCTGTGCTGGTTGTACAGTCTAACAGCAGCAGGAAAGAAGGACCAGCGATGGCCTCCTTCACACACATGGGGTGAAGCAGTCGGTCACTGAAGGAGCTGCCCAGTGCTGCCAGAGTCCCCTGAATGGAGTGGGAGCTGTTCTCCCGCATGGCTGCTACTTCTAGCTATAGAACCCTTTTCAAAAAGATTGGATATAGAACCATCTACAGCACATCCTTCATCGATCTGAAGAACCCTTTCACCATGCAAAGAAGTCTTTAATCAGGCAAAGAGTTCCGTGAGTGTTCATGGTTCATATAGAAACATTTTTTTACTAAAGAACCCTTGAAGCACCTTCTTTAAGTGTACAGTTATTATTATTATTATTATTATTATTATTATTATTATTATTATGGTTATTATTATGATGATGATTATTATAGTATTTCTATATGTCACTACAGGTTATTAAACCTCATAAAAACTAACTATTATGATGCATATTGTGTATTGTGAAAATATTTTTCATTTTTCATTTTAATGTGCGCTTTTAGCGATAACAGTCTAAAAACGCTAATTAGCGGTAAAGTCGCTGTTTTCAGAGGGAGGTGAGCAGTCAGCTGTGAACTTTCACTTCTCCACACAGCCCAATAAGTGCTTTCAGCTGTTCCGTGCATCTTAAAGTTAAAGCTTTCGGCAGCCAAACACCCAGAAAAAAGCGCTTTATAAACTCGTAAAGCTACAAAGACCTGAAACTGCGTCTGAAACCGCGCCAAACATGAACCTCAAGAGATGTTGAACCTCAAGAGCCTAAACTCTGACAGACTAAAGATCTTCAGACAGGAGCTCATGAGAGCAGCGCTGAACAGAAACATCTCAGAGAGTCAGACTGCAGCACAAACACGACGAGTCAAAAGTCTAATCACAAGAGACGCTTATAAGTTTTGTAGCTCATTTTGCGCTTTTTGCTTTGGCGCAAAATTCAACAGGAACGTAAACAATGTTAACACGTGTTTTTATCGCCACTAAAGTCATACAAGAGAATAATTAGACGCGTTCAAAACTTACCGCTTCGTTTTCTTGCCGCAAACGTCAACATAAGCGTGTGACAGACGAGGGAAAGAAGAGCAAAGAGCCGCAAATGCATCTGTGCGGAGGACGAGCGTCGGACAGCAGCAGGTTCCGCTGCATTTGAGCACCTCGCGCGGAGCCTGAGAGAAACTGAGGGACGAAAAAAAGAGAGAGAAAAGAGGTGGGGGAGATGGACAGAGGTCTCCCTCCCTCTCTTTCTCTTTCTCTCTCTCTCACTCTGCCTCACGGAAAGTTGCGGTTAACTCAACAAACTCAAGACCAAACCGCCAGGATCCACGTGTGGCGGTGAGTGAATCGGTTCTTCTGAATCGGTTCTTTCCAGCAAACCTTTCAAATTTGATTCAGAAGCCTGAATCAAACTGTTTTGGTATCTACAGAATGTTTAGGCCAGTGTTACACGTTTAATCTGTTAACTATAGCTACTGTCTTAAAAACAGATGGTTCTTCAAGGGTTCTTTAGTAAATGGAAGGGTTCTATTTAGAACCATGAGCTCTATATAGAGCCATTTCATGCCAGTTCTTTGCATGGTGAAATGGTTCTTCAGATTGATGGAGAATGTTCTGTAGATGGTTCTATGTAGCATCAAAAAGGGTTTTGCTATTGACACGATGCCAAACTTGTAACAACAACAGAACCGTTTTGGTGCTATATAGAATCATTTCCGAAAAGGTTCTATACAGAACCATTTTTAACACATTGTCCATCAATTTGAAGAACCAATTCACCATGCAGAGAACCATTTAAGCATGCAGATGGTTCTATATAGAACTCATTGTTCTAAATAGAACCATTGCCTTTACTAAAGAAGCTTTGGAGAACCATCTTTAAGACTATAACCTATATTGTAGATCTATCTATCTATCTGTCTGTCTGTCTGTCTGTCTGCCTATCTGTCTATGTATGTATGTATGTATATATCTGTCTGTGTCTATCTATCTCTCTCTATCTATCTATCTATCTATCTGTCTATCTGTCTATGTATGTATCTATCTATCTATCTGTCTGTCTGTCTGTCTGTCTGTCCATCTATCTATCTATCTATCTATCTATCTATCTATCTATCTATCTATCTATATGTCTGTCTATCTGTCTATTTATCTGTCTGTCTATCTGTCTATGTATGTATGTATCTGTCTGTCTGTCTATCTGTCTGTCTGTCTGTCTGTCTGTCTGTCTATGTATGTATCTATCTGTCTGTCTGTCTGTCTATCTATCTATCTGTCTATGTATGTATGTATCTGTATGTCTGTCTATCTGTCTGTCTGCCTGTCTGTCTATCTATCTATCTATCTGTCTGTCTATCTGTCTATTTATCTGTCTGTCTATCTGTCTATGTATGTATGTATCTGTCTGTCTGTCTATCTGTCTGTCTGTCTGTCTATCTATCTATCTATCTTTCTATCTATCTATTGAAACAGGGCCATACAAGGGTCTCCTGATATGTTGTTTTTTTATATGTTGATATTGTTGTTTTTTTGTGTCACTCAAATTGGCCAGAAAATATCTTAATCCTTTGTGTTGTGTTTGAGTCAATAGAATTGTTCATTCATGAGACGTTTAGAATAGAATAGAATGTTTGCGAAACATTTGTGAATACAAGCATACATTTGTAGTGTGGTCTTAAATTTGTTGGACCACTGTTACTGCAAGCCAGAAAAATACTCAGCCAAGACTTTTTATGAATGTGAAAAAGGTCCAAAAATATTATTTACTGCATTAAGATATTGTTTTATGTTCATATTCCATCAAATATAATATAATAACTCCAGTAACTCGTCTTTATCACTTATTGGCACCGCTCTGTGGTTTTTCAAAGGCAAATAACAACGATTATCCATAAATGTTATTTATATTCCAAACAAAATGAAATAATGAAAAATGTTTAAACCTCAAGAAAGCAGATGTTGCCTTTGCATCTTATATGTATATCCTTTATATTTCTACATTATGTTTTGTTTTATTTCATTTTATCGAATATTACTTGATGCATACGGACATTTAAAAAGAAGAAAGAAGAAAACCTTTCCAAAACGAAAACTTTGCAGGAGGAAGAAAAAACATACTTTACTTTTAATGTGACTCAATGGAATCAGACTTTTTTCCAAGTCATTTTTTGGTCATTTCTTTTGGTCCAATCGTTGTGAGATTTATATACATTTTAAAGGGTGACAGACATTGTGTCAAACACTGGAAAAAATAATGGACAAAAATGGAGATATAAGGTGTTGTTCCATCAGCAGCGATATACATTCTAGAACTATAAGAAGTATGAACTATTTTACATTCTTTCATTCAGAATATTATTGAGATGCATCAAATGTCACTCAGGTCCCCTAAACGTTGAGAAATGGCCTAGCTCATAAAATACCACAACGTAAGAATCATGATGAAATCTAAATATGTAACCTATATGAACGCTCATATATGAATGCAGTTACTTCAATACTATAATCTTTACATGCTGTCTATCAAGTCAAAGTTTATTTATATAGTGCTTTTTACAGCAGGTGTTGTCACAAAACAGCTTTACAGAAAAATCCGGGTCTGAGCCCCCATGAGCGTCGCCAATGGCAACGGTGGCAAGAAAAACTCCTAAGAGCAAGAAGAAGAAACCTTGAGAGGAACCAAGACTCAAAAGGGGAACCCATCCTCTTCTGGAACACACCGGATAGCAAACAGCGTTAGTATAAAATATTAAAATGCAGAAACGGGGAAAAACAGGCGGAGCAATGGTTAATTAGATAGTTTGAGTTTATGCAGCAGCAGCATCATCAGGAGGGTCAGTTTATGCAGGTGGGTTTTGCACAGCTTTGTACAGGGAGAAGCTCCATGGGGTCAAACCGGTCCAGGCTGGCGAGCAGTGGACACCTGAAGGAAGAAGCATCAGCATCAGACACACAGGATGGGCAGCTGTTCAACTCGGCAAAGAAAAGGAAAACACAGAGAGTCAGCTCTGTAAAGAGGGACTGATCACAGTTTGAAGGGTTAACAGAGCAGCAGAGACTCCGGCAGGTCTAATTATTACAGCCTAACTAAAAGGGAGAAACCAGAAAGGTAACAGAGTCATGAGGCTCTCTGAGATGTCAGCGCCTCTCCACTCCACCGTCAGCACACTTGAGTTTTATAACCCATCACTGTGAGCTGTACTGCAAAGCTGGCTTGTCGTCTTTGTACATAAGAAGGTTTTTGTTTACAAGCTTTATTGAAAGGACTTCCACCTACATTTCATCTCTACGGTCAGAAAAACATGTAATAAATAATGATTACCCTGCTGAAAAAAACCACAGAATCCATTAAGTGTTTCTGTTGGTTCCTGATGGTTTTCTAATGGGTTGATATCACAGTGTAAAGGATCCTAATGGTTTAACATGCGACCAATGGCTGATTCTTAATGCATTTGATGGTTTCCTAAAGGCATCTAAAGGTGTTCTACAGGAAACTAGTGGTCTCTATTGGAAATCACTAAGCCAATTCCCATTAGTAAGCAAAACCATCGAGTTGAATCCTTATGGTTTCTAATGGTCGTTTTTCAGCAGGGTGGCTGGTTCTGAATGTACCGTTTTCCTCTCCAGAATTTGGTACGAAAGCATTTTTATGAAACATCAATGTGAAATATCGTTCAACTGAGAGCTAGAAAACTCTTTTAGTCATCTGGTAGATGAAAGTTGTCGATGTGATATAATGTAATTATTTATTTTGTCTGTTCTAATTGTTTTATTGATCTAGATAGTTTGCTATTTTTTCTATTTCTCTTGTTATTAAAAAATTAGAGGTTAATCATTACTTCCAGTGAAACATCTTAAAGGCAGTCTTTTATTTACAGGCCGTTTACTCAGAGCTGTTTTTAAACAGTCAAATTGTAACCAGATTAATTTACTCAGTTACACTGAAATAACTAATGGACGTTTTTTAGAGTGTGTTTTCCTTTTGCTTTTACTTTTACACAAACATATTTGTGAGGAAAAGGATCTGCTTCCATTTTAGTGACTCCCACTCAGTGATTTAGTGTCCTGTTTTTCACAGCTGCTGGGCTGCACTCAGTTTTGAGATTTCACATTTTATTTTAGATCAAAAAGATCCAAAAAGAGCAAAATCGTGCTTGAATTTCAGTTCCTATGCTTACACTATAGGTATTACGAAGTTTCACTACAGTTCTATAGGAGAACTCAGTACTGTTCCAGGAAGTAACCAGAGTTATTACCTTATTCTCTGCTCATGTTGCTCTTGTTGTATTGTTGTTTTGCTTCCTGGTGCGACCGGAGGACAACGGGTTTCCCTTTTGAGTCTTTAAGGGTTCCTCTCAGGGTTTCTTCCTCTTGCTCTTAGGGAGTTTCTTCTTCCCACTGTTGCCCTTGGCGACGCTTATGGGGGCTCGGACCTGGATTTTTTCTGTAAAGCTGCTTTGTGACAACACCTGTTGACTTGGCTTTTACTTGGATGTTGTTTCTGTGAGTGCTCCACACCACCTCCTAATGTATAGAATTATATTTTTAGCAAAGTTCTCACTCATTTTACCCACATAAGCTCTCAGCAGCATTCAGTTTGTTGCTGCTTTTGTAACCTGGGTGCTGCCTTGGTTTCACAGTGTTCTACCAATTTACATCACATCCACCTGTAGGTCATCAAGCACCTGACCTGACCAACTCTGTGCCATGTGATCTGTTACACTGCAGCTGTCGTCAAATGCAGACTCAACGTCTGGTCCTGGATTTTTGATCACATCTGTTGATGTAACTGATTGGCCACTCAGTTCTATACCTACCTGTGACAACAAAATCCAGGACCAGAAACTGGATTAAAGGCAGGCCTAAGCACAGACACTTTAGGGAAGCAGGGACTAAAAGGTGGAATTCCACCAATTTTTCTAAATTTCTGCATAATTCTACCATGTAAACAGAGTGATTCAGAGTGGTTTGGTCTTAATTGGTTGATTGTAGAGACTCAGATGTCTTTACAGTGGTGGTGATATGACTACATATCACTACAAGACTACATGACATGAATCACTACATGACTACAACACAGATTTAGCGCTGCTGTCGGAAGAAAACCTTGTATCTCCATTTTTGTCGTTTTTCAGTTTTTGATAATTTGAAAATACCCGTTGCTCTTTACATCG